CTAAGCGCACATGCATCTGCCGCAAAGATAACTATAAAGATAACGCTATTAGCGTCTATATTAGCGTCCACACCAGCGAACAATATCGTCTGTTCATTCTAAGCGCACATGCGTCTGTCGCAAAGATAACTATAAAGAAAACGATATTAGCGTCCACACCATGGAACAATATCGTCTGTTCATTCTAAGCGCACATGCGTCTGCCCCAAAGATAACTATAAAGATAACGATATTAGCGTCCACAACAGCGAACGATATCTTCTGTTCATTCTAAGCGCACATGCGTCTGTCGCAAAAATAACTATAAAGATAACTATAAAGATAACGATATTAGCATCCACAACAGCGAACGATATCGTCTGTTCATTCTAAGCGCATATGCGTCTGCCTCAAAGATAACTATAAAGATAACGATATTAGCGTCCACACCAGTGAACGATATCGTCTGTTTTAAATTCTTGAGCTCGTTACAGTAGGATGGATTCTGATTGCTGTCAGTGTTTTATCGTTTGTTATCTTTATAGTTATCGTGCTTGGTGTGAACGGGCCTTAAGCCCAGTATAGCCCTGACTGATCCTTGTTCCCTGCTCCTGCAGGCCAAAGGTCATGGTAAATGGCCGCTGAAGTGGTATGCTCCTGAGTGCATGAACTACTTCAAGTTCTCATCTAAGAGTGACGTGTGGAGTTTTGGAGTCCTGATGTGGGAGGCATATTCATACGGACAGAAACCATACAAGGTGTGAATCTGTATATTATGTTGACCGATGCTACTTCCAAACAGTTCTGAGAGACTTATTTTGTATCGTTAATCGGGATAGGAGATATATTGATTTTTTAAATATATCGATAAGCGAATATGTTTGAAAATCAAGCAACATTGTGAAATGGTGTGACTATCATAATATTTTTAATGCCTGAAAATAAATACAGTTCTTACTTGTATTGGTTTAGTGACAGTGGAAAACCTATATTATTGCTATTTTAGTTTTGCATGCTAAATCTGCATTTGAACAAACCTTTTGAGTCTACTTGGATACAATGGCTGTTTGGTGTGAAGATAAAATCACCCAAGTTTTCTTACAGAAATCTGAATAGCCTTCCATAAACTGACAATTTTATTTATTTATTTTATTTTGTTTTGTGGTGATGCTTTACAATAAGGTTGAATTCATACATATTAGCTAATGCTTTAGATATCATGAATTAACAATGATAATTTTAAGCCTACATTAATCAAAGTTAATGTTCTTTTCTAAATGTATTATTGTTCTTTTTTAATTAATGGATATTCATAATACAGTAACTAAAGTTAGTTAATACAACTTGTTGTAATGTTAAATGTTAAAAATTTTATATATATATATATATATATATATTTTCATAAAAAGCAAAAATAGTGTATACATAAAAATATATGAAAAATATTATATATATATATATATATATATATATATATATATATATATATTAATATTAACCTTGATTAATAAATCCTGTAAAAGTATTCTGTTAGTTCATGATACCTAAAACACTAATACGGAATATTAATGAATTTAACCTTGCAAACGTGAAATGGCAATAGTGGCTCATAAAGCCCAAATGTCTTCCAATTTCAAATATGATCACTGTAGCTACGTTCACACTGGGCTTTGTTTGTTTTATTATAAATGCTTTGCATTGTTATTAAACTCAATATCATTAAATAAACTATATGCAGTATGGTGTGTGGGCTTATTAGGATGCCCTAAATATTGAGATATATACCATATATATAATATCATCTAAATCTCAAGCTGCACATTCATCCATTTGACCATCATACATGAGCTGGTGTTTGAAAGTATTACTGTAAGTGAGCATATATTTTAGCAATGTTGCTTATGTTGGCATATTGTCTGTAGGGAATGAAAGGAAATGAAGTCATCCAAATGATCGAGGGTGGAGAGAGAATGTCCGCTCCAGCCGACTGTCCGCCTGAGATGTACGACCTCATGAGGAAATGCTGGACATACAAGTAAGTGAACACTCACTAGATTAGACTTAATTGTTATAGAGCACGTTTATTTGATAAATGGACTTTTATCTGCATTTATTTATTGATCATTCTGGATTATAATGCAAATGACTATACAGGCAGTATATCAGAAAATCAAGTTTCTAACTTTCTGTCGTTTTACATTTGATTAGCATGAGTTTAATTTCCTTTCTTTAATATGCTGCACATGCACATATTGATTTGAAATATTAATGTAAGAAGGAGACTAGAACACTGATTATAAACAAAAATCATACCATTTTATTTAAATATCTGCAAGTATTCCAAAGAGCTGAGTAAAAATTATCAATTCAGTTCAGTACATTGAAGAATAATAAATGGTTGTGTTCTGTTTCTGCAGGCTGGACGAGAGACCTGGGTTTTCTGTAGTTGAACCCAGATTGCGGCATTACTATTATGACATATCTCAGTGATGAGCTAACCCAGAGCACATGCACAATTATACAGTATTTCTAATTAGATCATTGACAACATTTTTAATCATTTAAAGCAATGACTTGTCTCATAGAATGTGTACTTTCAATCTATTTTTTTATGTGAATTGGATTAATAAGCAAAAAGTGCTTATTGAATGGTTGATTTTTCTTCTAAAAGTGTGTTTGAAGCACTTTACACTTTAGATGTAACAGCAATACGGATCAACTGAAGGATGACCAGTCAAGAGCTAGACATTATTCTCATTCTTTTCTCTCTCTTTCGGTTTTGTACACATTTACTGGGTTTTGTCTTTATCTAAGTGCCAAGTTCTTTTTTTTTTTTTCAACATTGAGTATACGGTTTAAAAGTTCAGTGTTCATAAACAGGTTTAACATTTTATTTTATGTGTGGACAATGTTTATGTCACAAGATCAGAAACAATGTAAATATATATTTTGCATGTAATCTATGGTAGTCTAAGCAAGGTCTTCATTGGCAATCTTTTAGGATTTGTTTTCTCCATGTTTCTGCTGTCCAATGTGAATTCATTGCATTCATTGTGATTTGTCAGCTTTATTCAGTCGCTCCAGACTTTGTACAAGCTTGATAACTGAACAGCATGGCATGACAGAATCTTGCTCTTCCTCAGTTTGATGATATTGATAAATATGGTACTGAGCAAACAGAATATGTATGGCTGCCATTCGATTGTCAAAAAATGCTTTAAAAATAAATGAATAGTTTTTAACAAAAACAAAAAAAAGTGTGATCATTTTCTTGGATGCACAAAAATATGAATATAGAGAAATAAAAATCTCATTACATTCTCATTTGATTACAACACAGTGGAATAAAATGGGCATATCCTATTTTATTAATCAGGAGCATTTGCAGACCTCTGTAGTTCTTTGCTTTGTTCCAAAATGAGAATAAAAATGGATTTAACTCTATACACAGAAAACTGAGGAACGCTGAACACGCAGATAACAAACGTGTCACCTTGTGTGTCAGTTTCAGTGTGTGATCACTGATGTTAGAGTAAAAGGGACTATAGATTATATTATAAATAGATTATGTTACGTCTCCCTAATTATTTGGCGTCTAGGGTTTTTGGGAGGTAACACAAAACGTTTAATAAATAAAAGGATATTTAAGCTAAAACACTTTTCTCTGCTATGGAGGTGCGGTGTGTTTTAGCTTAAATATCCTTTTATTTATTAAACGTTTTGTGTTACCTCCCAAAAACCCTAGATGCCAAATAATTAGGGAGACGTAACATAATTGGGGGCTCGTCCTAAAAAGCGGATGCTGTCTCTTTTGCTGAGGAGCGAGGTGTGTGTTATTTTGTTTCAGGCAGAGTTTTGTGTGAACGTTGGGTTGAGCTAATTTGGTCTTGTGACGCATCGTGATAAGGTTTGATGGCGTTTGACTTAAAAAGTTTCGTTGATAATCCCTCACTAGAGGTGATAGAGAAATGCAGGAAGGATGAGTTGTTAATGATAGCTGCCCACTTCCAAATTACGATTCCAAAGCAATCTTTGAAAAGGAAAATTAAGGCGGAATTGATTGATCGCCTAAGCGAATTTGGAGTTTTAAGCTTGCCAGACATAGACAGAAGGGTGGTGCCCATGGATGAGGTGCAGGATGTTGTGGAAATAGGTAGAAGGGAAGGTGAGTTAGCTGCAAACGAGGCGGAGGCTAAAGTTGGGGCAACTCTTTCACTTTTTGAACCTTTTTCACTAGGTACTCCCAAATCAACAGGGGAGGCACAGTTGAAAGTGCGAATCGCACGGCTCCGTGCGGAGGCTCAAGAGAGAGCACAGGTCCGCCAGGCAGACCTAGATCTGCGTCTACAGGTCCGCAAGCTCGAAATTGAAGCCGATAAGGAAGTTAACTTCGACAGTTAGACATCGAAAAACAAGGAAAGAAGAGGTTGTCTATAATAGAATATTGTTGGGACATTCCAATCTTAATAGTACACTCAAAATATTAGGGAAGCATCCAAATGGACTATGTGAACAATGCAAAGTAGAAGAAACAGTAACCCATGCGATTCTTGAATATAAGAAATATGAGGAAGAAAGAAGTAATATGATAGTTGAAATCAAGAAGAATGGAATTCAGGTGGTACATTTTAAAATCTTTAATAAAATGGGCAAGTGAAATAAACAGTAAAGCTTTCTTTAATTTTCTTAAAAGGACGGGATTAATAAGTAGAATGTAATGGTGCTTTTCCACTGCATAGTACGGCACGGTACGGCTCGGTACGGTTCACTTTTGGGGGGTTTTCCACTGGGTACAGTACCTGGTACCTGGTACTTTTTTTAGTACCACCTCGGTTGAGGTTCCAAGTGAACCGTACCGTTACCAAAACGTGACGTGTAAACTCTGCTGATCACGGA